CCCCGCCTCGCGGGAGCGCGCACGGGGCCCCCCCGCCTCGCGGGAGCGCCGGGCACTGCGGCGGGAGCGAGATGCAGCGAAGCTGCCAGAGCTGACTGGGGAGTCGCAGAACGTTCAGAGCTGATGCACGAGGATCACCCAGGTCCAACTCTTGGCCCGGCAGAGGGCAGCCTGAAAGCCTTATCCGAACGCCCCTTGAACTCGGTCTTAAAATCGCAGCTAGTACAATAATAATAATCAAACAGGATTACACACTCATGATGAAATATTCATTTATTCCTACTGATTATTCACAAAAGAACTAAATATATCAGATATATATATTTATTATGATGCATCAGAAGACTTAACACAGTATCAAGTTAACTTGCATGCGTTAGGGGCAGGGAACACTCCAGAAAATAAAAAAACTCCCAATAAGAATAACAGAAAAAAATAAAGGCATAAGCAAGAGCATCAGCCTATAATCTCCATTACTAAGACTGATCAACACTCATGGTAAAAGAACAAGTAAAAATGTAGTTCTGTACACTTAGGACAGATAAAAATAAGTAGTATTACATCTGTCCTTGTTTTATGATTCAGGTCAGGTTGAATAGTCTGACAATAAACTCCTTTCTGCCCCCATAAAAGGCAGACAGAAGACCCAATCATCAACAAATCAAGTGTTATATAATTAGCAACAGTCCATTTGAGTATGCACAAAAGTCTTATTTCAAGCTTGCAATTCTGTTGTAATACATTTGTCTTACTACTACAAGGGATTCAAACACAGTAGCAGCAATACATTCCACACTCACGCTCTGTATATGTATATGAAAGTTAGTAGTTTACTACTTAAAAATAGTTAAGTTTTAAACAAAGCAACAGAATCCCTGTCCCAAATACAATTGGTAATGCATTCTTGGCCAGACCTCCTCTTGTATCCAGAACAGACACAATCTTTCCCAGCAATAAAGAAGAGGTATAAGAGCTGTTTGCATATAAAAAAGGGGCATATCAAACCTACAGGAGTGGTCAATATATGAGTTAATCAGACCAAGCTTCCAGATAATGGCAAGCCAAACAAAATACAGAGCACTGCAACCGATAGTACCACAACATACCTAGGAACAAAACCCACAGGTCACATGCAACAGGAGAATGATCACATTACCCTATAGCCATACTGAAAGGTTTCAGAAGTAACTGCACAGAAAAGAGCTTAACATGAGCTTCAGCACTGCACCAAGACACTTAACAGAGACAGGGAGATACAGGTAGCAGCTGAAAATGGTGTTCTTTAGGAGCACTTCAGGACACAACCTGCCATCACATTCTGGTGTCTATACACAGATGAGATATAAAGAGAGGTACTGGATGCTCCATCCCTGGAAACATTCAAGGTGATATTGGACTGGGCTCCAAGCAGCCTGATCAAGTCAAAGATGTCCCTGCTTATTGGGGTTGGACTAGATGACATTTAAAGATCCCTTCCAACCCAAACTGTTCTATGACACTATGACAATAAAGTCTTACAGGATTTAATCTTCACTACACATGCTTTACAAGTGCCATGGACTTGCTTTAAACATCAGTAATTATACAATTTTTGCAGTAATATCCAAAGTAAGACTACAGGTGTCATGTTTCATAAGAAGCTATGAAAACATCTCTCCACGTTACAGACCTAGACAAGCAGCTATTCACTCCGATCCTTTGGCTCTCGGTATTTCCACTGGATATAGTCAAAGATGTCTTTTTCACATTCTACTGGTAGGGCCTCCCCAGCAACTCCTGCAAGCAAATTACAGAGCCTATTTGAAAGGTGGAAGATCTGTACCTTGCACTGCAAGGTTAAGATAAAACTCCTGTAAATAAAACATATTTAAAAAATCCAACTGAACAACCCCCACCCCAACCTTTTCATACAGTGTTTAGATACTGATTCTTATTAGTGTCAAAGGAAATAAGGTAATGAATTAACTTTGGGGCCACGTGGTTATGCAGCTAAGTACATTTATAGTTGTGTGTGGCTATGTGTATATTTAGACACCTCCCCTCCAAAACAAAACAACTGTGAAAAGAGTGGGAAACCATACAGGTGCTGTGCATGACACAGAGAAAACAATCTTTAAATCAGTAAGACTTGGAGTAGGTGGCCAAAAGGTAACTGTGCCACAGCATGGCATGTACAGAAGCAGGCTGCCTCTTCTTGCTAGAATGGTGCCCAGTACCACAAAGGACACTGTGAAAAATATCATGAACTACAGTATTTATCGCAAGTATTTCCAAAACACTGCAACCAACTGAAGATCACACAAGGCATGTTAACTAGAAAGAATACTCCGTGCAAAGACCCAGACTGACCAGTGACACCCAAGCGACGTATTGCATACTCATTAATGGTGAAGCCCATTTCCAGAGCGTGAGCTCTCATGTTCTTATTGAATATGTCACTGCCTGTGAAATACAGCACACCGCAGTAATACTGATCTTTGGGGATAAGCCTAGAATAAAAAAAACAACATAGAAGTACAGATTTAGAACAAAGATATAACAAAAAAACCTACAAGCCATTTGGAATTCAGCCATTCAGACACCACTGGAGGTTTACTTGCTATTTATGGGCAGACATTCTGCAGCTCCATATGGCTGATTTTCCCCATGAGCCAGATGCAAGAATGAACTGAACTGCTTGCTCATCAAAGAAAGGTTCACCACATCTACCCTGACCTAGAACTTACTAGTGTTCAGCCACTGCATGGTTATGGTGCTTGCACTCCTGCCCAGAATGAATGCCAAAGCAGGAGGACACAACTGGACACAATTTTGAATCCAGACAGAACAGCATGATTTAAAATCCAGCATTATTGCCAACAACCTGCTGTAGACGCTGGCAGCGCTACGGTGGCTCCCAAACTGCAAAGGAATTGCAAGCCTAGGAAATGCCACGCTCGGAACGTGGCTGGAGACACCTGAGTGCAGAACTCTATGCCAATGCCTGCACCCTGTAGCAGACGGCTAAGGGAAGGGTCGGGTAGGGGTTTGTGGGTGTGTGTACCGGATATCAATTCTCCTGTGTGGATAGGCTGCTCCATCTTCTTTATCTGGCAGCTGGCAGACACCCTGCGAAGAATGCAAGCAAGGAATTCAAATGGAATTAAACAGATTTGAGATCAGTCTTTAGCTCCCCACCCCTAAACAACATCTAAACAATCCTCAGTC